TCCACCTTTACAAAAGACATTTGTTATGTTGTTCGAACTTTTTGCAAGAAACAACCAACTAGATGGCGATTCCACAGATCTAAATTAAGCTATCCAAGCGCAGCTTGAAAATCCATTGGAGAATAGCTACTGCTATCATAGCACAATCGGAATCGTTCTTCTGTGATTTAAAGTATTCCGCACTTACTGGGTTCGTAGAGAGATAACTATATGTTGGCACAACAACCTGATAACATTTAATTTCCGCATGCTATGCTTGCATAATTGACAAGGAACTTGTATTGGCAGGTAACCCAATCCTGCTGTCCGATAAAAATAATAATATACTTTTGAAAACTATGAAATACCAATTTCTTATCTTTCTCCTGAAAACATTCAAAATAGGTATTCAAATAAAAAACAAACAAAGAGAGCTTGAATTTCAGCCTTTTTATGATCCAGAAATGACGCTATTTTAAGAATTCCCAGAACTGGGGTGAATCACATCASATGTGACATTCTGGAAATCGTGCATAATTAATGATTGCTAATCAAAAACAATCAAGCCTTGGTCAACATCGAAATTGACAAGTCCCAAAACTTTATAGTTTAACTTTAGAATTTGTTAATCGAGCTCAGCCCCACCTAATTATGATTTTGAATACTTCTAATTGAAATTTATAGCTCAAACCTTCAGTTTCTATAAAGAGATAAAAACATTTCTTTACTTAAGAGCAACCTATGGCTTAAAACATGTTCAGCTTCAAGTCAAACTGATTTTCATTTGATTGACCCTTCTTGTTAGACTCTTGTTAGACTTTTTCAGTGAGAAATTAAAATTCGAATAATTTTATAAATTCGTCCCCAGGCTCCACTTTAAATGTATGGTGGAGGTCATTCTCGTACCCAGACCCTACTCTGTCGGCCTCTAGAGGAATGTCGTAGGCTACGACAGGCCGCTAGAGGCCGACAGAGTAGAGTCTGGGTACGAGAATGGGTGGAGGTTTAACACAAATACTACTGAAACTGAACAATGGGCCAACTGCACACCAGCAAAGAACCATAACTCCGTCACCCTAAGAGTGCCCAGATATTCATTTAGAAACGAGAATCTTGAAGTGCAGCCTGATAACGCGGTTGTGTTCAAGCTTGTCAAAGAGTAAGCTATGTTAAGAATGATATAGAAATAAAGGAATAGTGCTTAGAAGCAGGTTATTCCGGGAGAAAGACGCTTGGAAATATATCGGGAAAAATTAATTTCCGACCTCGCTTGGATAAGAACCCACGACCCAGAATGGTTGTATATCCTGCACAACATCAAAAACGAAACACTTTGACACTTTCCTAGGCTTAGAATGACGTTTTTTAAAGTTAACTTTTCAAGGAATCAGACGGCAATCTAG